GAGACGTATCACCGTACTATATTGGATATGGTGCGATCTATGATGTCTCTTACTGATTTACCACTATCGTTTTGGGGTTATGCATTAGAGATAGTTGCATTCACGTTAAATAGGGCACCGTCTAATTCGTTGAGACGACACCGTATGAACTATGGTTTAGCAAGAAACCTAAGTTGTCGTTTCTTAAAGTTTGGGATTGCGATGCTTATGTGAAAAAGTTTCATCCTAATAAGCTCGAACCCAAATCGGAGAAGTGTGTCTTCATAGGATGCCCAAAAGAAATTGTTGGGTATACCTTCTATCACATATCCTAAGGCAAGATCTTTGTTGCTAAGAATGGATCCTTTCTAGAGAAGGAGTTTCTCTTGAAAGAAGTGAGTGGGAGGAAAGTAGAACTTGATGAGGCAATTGTACCTTCTCTCGAATTGGAAAGTAGTTCATCACAGAAATCAGTTCTAGTGATTCCTACACCAATTAGTGAGGAAGTTAATGATGATGATCATGAAACTTCAAATCAACTTACTACCGAACCTCATAGGTCAACCAGATTATGTTCCGCACCAAAGTGGTATGGTAATCCTGTTCTGGAAGTCATTTTACTAGACCATGACGAACCTACGAACTATGAGGAAGTGATGATGAGCCCAGATCCCACGAAATGGCTTGAGGCCATGAAATATGAGATGGGATCCATGTATGAGAACAAAGTATGGACTTTGATTGACTTACCCGATGATCGGCGAGCCATTGAGAATAAATGGATCTTTCAAGAGGAAGACGGGCGCTGATAGTAGTGTTACTATCTAGAAAGCTCGAATTGTCGCAAAAGGTTTTCGACAAGTTCAAGGTGTTGACTACGATGAGATTTTTCTCACTCGTATCAATGCTTAAAGTCTGTCTGAATCATGTTATCAATTGCCACATTTAATGAAATCTGGCAAATGGATGTCAGAACTGTATTCCTTAATGGATTTATTAAAGAGTTGTATATGATGCAACCAGAAGGTTTTCTCAATCCTAAAGGTGCTAACAAAGTGTGCAAGCTCCAGCGATCCATCTATGGACTGCTGCAAGCATCTCGGAGTTGGAATATACGCTTTGATGAGTTGATCAAAGCATATAGTTTTATACAGACTTGCGGTGAAGCCTGTATTTACAAGAAAGTGAGTGGGAGCACTACAGCCTTTCTGATAAGTATATGTGAATGACATATTGTTGATCGGAAATGATGTAGAATTTTCTGGAAAGCATAAAGGAGTGTTTGAAAGGAGTTTTTCAAAGAAAGATCTCGGTAAAGCTGCTTACATATTGGGCATCAAGATCTATAGAGATAGGTCAAGACACTTGATAAGATTTTTCAATGAGTACATACATTGACAAGATTTTAAAGTAGTTCAAAATGGAATAGTCAAAGAAGGAGTTCTTGCCTATATTGCAAGGTGTAAAGTTGAGTAAGACTCAAAACACGATCACGGCAGAAAAATAGAAAGAGAATGAAAGTTATTCCCTATGCCTCAGCCATAGGTTCTATAAAGTATGCTATGTTGTGTACCAAACCTATTGTGTACCTTGCCATGAGTTTGGTAAGGGGGTACGACATTGATCTAGGAGTGGATCACTGGACAACAGTCAAAAATATCCTTAGAAGACTAAGGAGATATTTCTTGGTTATGGAGGTGATAAAGAGTTCGTCTTAAAGAGTTACGTCGATGCAAGCTTACATATGGCTCTGAATGTGACCAAGGTTGTCAGAATCGCGATTTTGAATTGGATCGGTGCTCTGATGGCAGGATCGCAAATCATAGAATCTTCACTATGAGGATCGTAGAAACGTAGATTCTATGAACTAAAATCGTAGAATCATAGGGGTCATTTGGGTCATAAAGTCGTAGAATCGTATAACAGAATCACGATTCTGACAACCTTGAATGTGACAGACCCATTGACTAAACTTCTCTCACAAGCAAAACATGATCACACCTTAGTACTCTTTGGGTGTTAATCACATGGCGATGTGAACTAGATTATTGACTCTAGTAAACCCTTTGGGTGTTGGTCACATGGTGATGTGGACTATTGGCGTTAAATCACATGGCGATGTGAACTAGATTATTGACTCTAGTGCAAGTGGGAGACTGAAGGAAATATTCCCTAGAGGCAATAATAAAGTTGTCATTTATATTTCCTTATATCATGATAAATGTTTATTATTCATGCTAGAATTGTATTAACCGGAAACTTGATACATGTGTGAATACATAGACAAAACAGAGTGTCCCTAGTATGCCTCTACTTGACTAGCTCGTTAATCAAAGATGGTTAAGTTTCCTAACCATAGACATGTGTTGTCATTTGATGAACGGGATCACATCATTAGGAGAATGATGTGATGGACAAGACCCATCTGTTAGCTTAGCATAAATGATCGTTTAGTTTTATTGCTATTGCCTTCTTCATGACTTATACATGTTCCTCTGACTATGAGATTATGCAACTCCCAAATACCGGAGGAACACCTTGTGTGCTATCAAACGTCACAACATAACTGGGTGATTATAAAGATGCTCTACAGGTGTCTCCGATGGTGTTTGTTGAGTTGGCATAGATCAAGATTAGGATTTGTCACTCCGTGTATCGGAGAGGTATCTCTGGGCCCTCTCGGTAATGCACATCACTATGAGCCTTGCAAGCAATGTGACTAATGAGTTAGTTACGGATGATGCATTACGGAACGAGTAAAGAGACTTGCCGGTAACGAGATTGAACTAGGTATGATGATACCGACGATCAAATCTCGGGCAAGTAACATACCGATGACAAAGGGAATGATGTATGTTGTTATGTGGTTTGACCGATAAAGATCTTCGTAGAATATGTAGGAGCCAATATGAGCATCTAGGTTCCGCTATTGGTTATTGACCGGAGATGTGTCTCGGTCATGTCTACATAGTTCTCGAACCCGTAGGGTCCGCACGCTTGACGTTCGATGACGATTTGTATTATTATGTGATTCGATGACCGAAGTTTGTTCGGAGTTCCGGATGAGATCACGGACATGACGAGGAGTCTCGAAATGGTCAAGAGGTTAAGATCGATATATTGGAAGGCTATATTCGGACATCGGAATGGTTCCGAGTGATTCGGGTATTTTTCGGAGTACCGGAGAGTTACGGGAATTCGCCAGGGGAAGTTAATGGGCCTTATTGGGCTTTAGTGGAGAGAGGGAAGAAGGGCCATGGAGTGGCGCGCGGCTCCCCTGCCCAAACCGAATTGGACAAGGGGTGGGGGCGCCCCCCCCCCCTTTCCTTCTCCTCTCCCTCCTTTCCTTCTTTCCTACTCCGAAAAGGAAAGAGAATTCTACTAGGACTTGGGAGTCCTTGTAGGACTCCCTACACTTGGCGCGCCCCTAGGAGGGCTGGCCTCTCTCCCTTCCTCCTTTATATACGTGGGCAGGGGGCACCCCAAAGGCACACCAGGTCTTCTCTTAGCCGTGTGCGGTGCCCCCCTCCACAGTTACACACCTCGGTCATTTCGTCGTAGTGCTTAGGCGGAGCCCTGTGCCGGTAACTTCATCATCACCATCGCCACGCCGTCGTGCTGACGGAACTCTCCCTCGCCCTCAACTGGATCAAGAAATCGAGGGACGTCATCGAGCTGAATGTGTGCTTGGATCGGTTGGATTGCAAAGACGTTTGACTACATCAACCGCGTTACTAAACGCTTCCGCTTTCGGTCTATGAGGGTACGTGGACACACTCTCCCCGCTCGTTGCTACGCATCTCCTAGATAGATCTTGCGTGATCGTAGGAATTTTTTTGAAATACTGCGTTCCTCAACAGTTGTTGGTTGATAGTACGACAGAGGAAGAACCGACTATTTTGTGGAGCGATGAGAGCATTAGGGTGTTGCAGGGCGATCCAATCTAGTCAAGGCGTTTGGTCTGGTAGTAGTGCTTTTACAGAGAATTTCATCAGGAGACATTTGTTCTGCTGATGAAGATTTTTCAGGCCTAAGCCCCCAAACCTTTTCGGTTTGCATACATTTTTCCAGGCAACTAAGCATTGTGCATCGATGCAGGTTTCCTCTGCGGTCCAAAAGAAGGCTCGTTGAATCAAGTCTAGTGTTTCTAGAACACTCTTTGGAATAAGGAAGACAGACATAAAGTAGACCAGGATGGAGTCAAGTACAGACGACAGTAGGATAAATTTGTCGCCCTTAGAGAGAAGTTTGGCCCGCCAGCCTGTCAAAAAATTCCGGCATCGTTCTATGATTGGGAGGAAAGCGTTAGCAGGTAAGCATGTGGGTGCTAAGGGTAGTCCTACGCAAATTTGCGGGAAGGTGGAGGTCGTGCACTGCAGTGTGGTGGCAATGTCGGCTGCGAAAACAGGGCAGACGTGCATTACAAACATGGTTTTTGTGAAGTTTATAGTGAGGCCAGTTGCCATAGAAAATTTGTGGAGTATGCTTTTTAGCTGTATGGATGCGTTAATCGAAGCCTCGGTGATGATGAGAGTGTTGTCGGCGTACTGCAAAATTGTTGGCGGTAGGTGTGAGAACAAAGGGTGGCTAAGATGTAGAAGGTTGCAGTCTTGCTAGATCATCTGTTGCAGTAGGTCGGCGACAATGATGAAGAGATAGGGCGACAACAGGTCTCCTTGGCTTCAGAAGACTTGGTTTTGACCAGACAAAATGTGCACTTTTGCTTCTTCTATATACACTCAAGTTACAACAATCACACTAGTCTATAGGCGTACACACAGTCCTTATCAAAAATCAAACTTCAGGAGGCACATCAAAAGATAATAAACATATGGCATGCCCCGAAAACGTCAAAATACGCTAGCACAGATCAAACTGTCTTGGCATGGTGTTCTCGAGATGAAGAAAAAGGTGCATTTGACTCTACTGATATATTCTACCATTTTCTTCATGCAAGAACACGAGCACAAGACCTGCGCATAACATGTGAAACATCAGCCGCCAAATTGCTCCGAGGAAAGCTACTCACTCCAGCTATCCTCGTCATCGTCATCAGCAACCGCCTGTTTTTAAAAGAAGAAGGTGTCATCTCGGTACCGTGCCATATGGTAAAGCTATTGTCAGCTGAAACTTCTAGCAAGATATATACAGGATGAAGCGAGAGGGTTTAACCTGGCGAATCGCGTTGGCCCTCTCGAGAATGGCCGCCACTTGCAAGTTTGTTCTTGGACCACCCATCACATTTGGTCTCTTTGCAACAACCGGTTTCAAGTTGAAAGTCTGCAAACAAATCATTTTTATATTTAGGATATAATCTAGCTGAACAACGATGTTGTTTATGTGCAGGGTGAAGGCTTACCTTGTTCTTTATCTGATCCAACACTGTGTTCTTCTCATCTGAAAGCTTACTTGATGGCTGAACCAAAGTTGGAGCCTTTCTTAGCTACAAACATGAAAAGAAAAAATTAAGTCAATATACTCAGGGTGATGATCTTAAAGTGGTGGGAAAAAAACACAGAACATGGAAGTAGTTATATTGTATACCATGCTTCTATCATGAGAAATAACTTGAAGCAGAGGATATCTAGGTGGTTCTGGCACTGAATGAGGAGGCAACTTTGCTAGTTCCTCTTCTAATGCCGAAGAGAACTCCCTAATGTCATTGGATTTATCTTCCTGTTGCACTGAGAAGTCAGGATTCTGAATATCATCTTGACAAGGAAGCCCATTTGGTTTGTTTTCTTCTGAATCTGTAGTTGTGTTGCTATCTGCTGCTGACAATTCCTCCTTTTGGTCAAATCTTTCATGCTCCACAGTGGTCTTTTCAATTGGCAAACCACTGGTATGAATGCTACTGCAACCAGAAACTCCATTTATGAGCTGTTGTTTTCTCTCTTCCTCCTGCTTCAGTATCGGTTTTATATCTACGAGCTCAGACCAAGCCTCCTCTGGAATTACTATAAGCTCAGGCGGCTTCAAAGCGTGGATGTCGTCGCCTACTGAAGTAACGTCTGTGTTGCACTTGACTTCTGATGAGCAAAATAGATTAGAAGACTGCACATCATACTCTTTGTATCCTTCTTGGACATTATTCTCTTGAGAATCACTCTCAGGTAACAGATCTGTCCGAGTCTGACTACAAAGTGTTGTTGCCTGTGCCATTTCCTTCTGCGAACTAAAACCATTGTTCCAGCTTATTTCCTGAACATTTTCAGATTCTTGATTTGTTTCGCCGGGTGCAGAGTTATTTTCATTTTCTAGCTGTTTCACTGGAGGTTTTGGCCTTGGTGGTCTCCCGAATTTTGCAAATAAAGATGCGGATCCTGTCTGAGGCTTGGTCGCTCGCCACTGCACCGGCGGAAGAGGTGGAAGTGGTGGTGCTTCTTCAGTATCTTCAGAAGAACTAATCTCTTGTAGATTTATATTACTTGATGGAGCAGGAAGCACGTTCAATGACTTCTTCATTAAACCACTAAGCATCCAATCAAAACTTGAAATGCTGGGCAGCGGCAAATCTGTGGAGTCAGGAGCCAATTGATCTGCAAAAATGTCAGTGCTGATGCTGTTGCATGGATTAGGCGGTTCTTCATACAATTCATGCATTTCCCCTGTCTTTACAGTTGGATCTGGAGTGGCAGACATCATGGATGAGCTGTGCAGTTGCAGTTGCTCATTTTGGTCTAGAAGTTCACAGCTACCAAGAACAGTATCTTGTGGTAAACTAGTTTCTGGATGTAGACAGCACTGTTCATCATCTGGCACGGCAGCCTCGCTGCTGACTACTGGTTCAGTCACAACTTTAGGTAGTCCCGTTTCCACGACTGTTTCCAGCAAGGTGACATGCTTCATTTCAGGGATGTAGTTGTCCTGGCCTTCCCTTGCTGCTGCCAAATCTGCATCTTTGAGAGTGAATGGAGTTACTTGGCAAGGATCATCAGATTGCTTGGATGAAATCGGTGAGATCACATCATCTGGAACCGCATGTTCTCCTGTGTTCTCTGTGATTTCTTCCTCCGATGCATATTCATCAGATTCACTGCATCCATCAGCATCTTCCGCATTGACACGCTCTTCGCAAATGCAGACTTCTTTCAAATCTTCACCCATATCAGATGCATTTTCAGAAGCACCTTCGGTATGTATATCCTCAGTGTGCTCTTGAATAAGCTCTGATGCATGATTGAGCATGCCAGCAGATGAATGCTCATCAGGTGCTGCAACCGTCCATCCTTCCTCTTCTTCCTCCTCCTCCTCCTCTTCTTCTTCTTCATCTTCTTCTTCTTCCTCTTCTTCTTTTTTGGGACTCGGTGATGTGATGTCTGTCAGGTAGACATCGGTGTGCTGAAAACCATTTTCATCAGGCACTGAATCTTGTGGACTGTCAGCAGTTGGGACATCATGGTCTGACTCTTGGTCCACTACTTCCAGCTGGCATTCCCTTGAACCAACATCTTGAGGTGAATCAAAAGAAATGCTCTTCCTGAAACTCTCCTCCATGATTTCAATAGGAGGGTGAGCCATTTTCCGACACTTGACGTCGAATCCATCGCCATTCGCTTCAAACTCATACAAGTCAGTATCTTGAGTGCCATCACACTTGAGCTCAAGCAGCTCCTTTGCCATGTTACGGAGAGAATCAGAGAACGGGTCATGCTTCTTGGAGAGTTTCCTGGGCAGAATGCCGACTTTTGAGGCAAACAGCTCCATGCTTTCGACACACCTCTTGCTCGCTGTTTTCTTGAAGGAAATGGCCGAAACATTGTTCCCCTTGGCCCTTTTAGTAGCATCAACTGTACCATCGGGTGTAGCATTACTGACAATAGCATTGCTATTGGACTCCGTGGCTAATTCCCTTGTGTCGGGCTCTGAAAGAAGTATGTCACCAGTGAGCAGTTCCTCCAAGGAAACAGTCCTCTCATGCTCGCAAGAAACCGGCTTTTCTTGCGAAAACAATTCCTCCAACGAGCTAGTCCTCTCATGTTCACCACCAACAAGCTTGGCCTCCGTTACACAGACAGCGACATCTCCTTCGGAGTGATCAGCCTCGTCTCTGTTTGCTGAGCCAACATCTGAAGAGCAAGAGTCCTCCTTTTTACTGAAGGTACTAGACCTGGAGACGGCGGCACCCTGAGCATCAGAGCACATCTTGCCCGACGGTGCCGATGCAAAGGCACCTTGTCCACCATGGTCCCTGTGCTCTGAGTCTGTCTCCACTTCAGACCCCATTGTGGTGAGTGTGTCCACGTAAATATCAACTTCAGAGCTGTATCCCTTGCTGCTTCCTGCTGAACAGCTTGACGGGGTTTCTTGGGAAGTCGACCTCCTCTTGCGTGCTGTGGCGTAGTAGCCTCCCTTGCCCTTCTCAGTGCTGCTGGAAGTGTCCACCATGATATCTCTCTCTTCGGCGTTTGTGTCGGGTGAGTCGGTGAAAGATATCTGCACCTCTGACCGATCCATGGAGAAGGTTTTCTCCTCTGGTGAAGCCTTTCCATAAAGGTCCTGCATCTGCGGTCTGAAGCTTCGGAACACGGTCCCGTTTAGTTGTCGGTGCTTCAGCCGCTGGCGCCTTGGCGGGACCTCATCCAACGCTTCACCCGATAAATCAGTCTTGAACCTATGCAGGGAAATGGAAAGTTTGTTTGAGAAGGAATAAACAGAGAACAATAAAGTTACACTTTAGCATTAGATTTTTGTTGTTCTTATGGGGGATGGGGGTGTACCTTGAGTCATTGTTGGCTCCATCAGAAGGTCTGAAAATCTCAGCATTCTGCAGGTCCGGCCTGATCTCCTGCAAAAGGAAGGAACAAAATATGTTGAATATCCTTTCCAGATAAACAGTTAGCACAAGAAACTCTTATTCTGATTTAGACTAGTAGGGTTATATCAACAAAGATTACAACTGAGTGAACTAGTATATATGAACTTAATGCAATAACAACACTAGAGATTAACAGTTGATTACCATGGTTCTAATTGGTCTTCTTTCTGTTCTAATTCCTTCCTGCAGCATTCTGGAACACGCGGAATCTGTCTTGAAGAAGGCCGGGTCCGAGTATCTCTTCATGCACGTTCCCTCGCCGCCGATATCATACCTGAAAGTTGACCAAACTTCCATAAACACGAGTACATCGCTTCGTTACCTCCAACTTACAAAAGACAGAAACTCATCATACTTGTCAAGCATGAACAATCTTGGAGGCCCATGGCACTGCTTGATGGAATCCATGATGAAGCGAGGCGTGTCGCCCGTCGTCACAACCCCATGGTCCACCCTCAGGTTCGCATGCCAATCAACTCCTGCATGAGCATGGCAACGTTATCTCAGTACAGCAAGCAGTCCAAAGATGCAAGTTTACAGAGAGGAAGTTTGTGCTCTGTGCTGAACCCACCCCTGTTAGAAGCAACGTACAGGTAATCTCTGTGACAGACGTCTTTCTCCAGTAGGGGCAACTCTGCCTCCAGCTGCTGCACCCGGAGCACGAGCCCATGCCCCCGCGCCGACGCGGTCATCACCTCGTCATACAGCCCGTGGAAGACCTCTGCTGCAAATCTGCTCACAGATGATGGTGCCATACGATGGCATCATGGTCAAGACGTCTGAGTTATGAATTCTGATGCATCTTCCTATAATTGCACTAGTACGTTATAGCGAAAAATTGAAGTGGTTGCAGAAATTTCGTCTGAGAAGAAAAGTGCTTACTAATTAAATGCCACTGCTACACCAAAAGATCATAAGACCAAGAACACTGAAGATTGAACTAATAGTATGGAGTATGTCCTAACATGTGGCTTAGGTGCAATTCAAGAACCTCTGAAACATTGAAGCCAAACACAAGGATATTATAGCTGAGTTGTACAGTTGTACTGGACCCCTCGCATTAAAAAAAAACATAAAAGAAAGAAAATCTGAAGTTGATGAAAAACCGAAAAGCCAATGATCGTCTCCATCGATCCCAAGAACAACTTAAGGGGGGGATTAATTTGATAAGGGAAACTCGATTGTAATGCAGCGTCTTGTGATTTCTAGGGGTCAAACTTTGGTTACTTTTAGAGCAGTATTGCATTGTCTTTGCTTCAACCTTGAAACTCTATATACAATAATCAAAGTTGTTTTCTCTATCAGTGAATGAATGGGAACATAAGATTAAATAATGGTGGAAGTTATATGATGACAAGAGAGTGCTTGATCACAACCAAGAAAAGGAAACTGCTCTGTGTTGCCTAGCAAGGACAAGACTATCAACAGCAACAGTTAACCACCTCGAAGTCAAGGGCGCTAATCCATACATCAATCACCTAGTTTAGTTGGTCTGGAAAAAGGGTCTGAAAACCACCGAATTTGCTCATAACAAAAGCATTAGGTGATCTACTCGCTGTCAACACCACTGACCCAGCAATACTGATGATTCATGACGCAAAAATAAGAATCCAAAAATGTTCGCAAGAAGTAGAATTCGTCCGACGGAAGAAAAGAAAAGAGAAACTCAGAAGAGATAGCAAGGGAGGGAGCGGCATGGACGTACTCTGCGAGGTCGCCGAGCTGGCGGAGGAGGCCGACGAGGCCGGCGGTGGCGACGCCGTCGAGGACGGCCTCGGGGTCGTGCTGGTCGGCCCGCTTGTAGAGGTCGCGGCCGCCGAGGGAGTACTCGTTGGCCACCGTGTGCCTTGACAGAGGCATTGTCGTCCTTGATTGCTCCGGACGGGAGCTCCCCTCCCGCCTCCTGCTGCTCCTGCTCCTGCAGCAGCAGCAATGGCAGCTTTTCCCGGTTGATTGCCGATCCCGGTGGCTCAGGCAGAGGCAGGAGCGCAGAGGTGTAGGAGGATCCTCCTACACTTTAGGATTGGCCTCGCTAAATGAAGGCCCAAAAGGTTGGGCGTGGCCGGTGTTTTTCGCGGCGGTGGCCTTTCTGTTTTTTCTGTGCCTCTTTCTCGTACTTCTCAGGGGAGGGAGCGGGATTAAAGGGGGTTACTCGTAGCTAATTGCGGTGTCTCTCTCTCTTGGTTTTATCTCCGCAGCAACGAGAGGGGCCCGCCCATACTCCGGCGTAGTGCATCATGTGAACTTGTTAATGGACAATGAGTCAATGTTGCTTGGTACTATAGCGGAACTTGTTAAGTGTGATCCCCTTCACTGCCGTGCCCGTGCGTAACTGAATTCGAAGGTGGCTTCGGAATGACTTTCCACGCCGTCTGCGATGGCAGTTTTAACTGCCTAGTGCCAACGCCAAGCTTCCCATGAGCACATTTGCGTTTGCGCAGAGTAAATTCTACTTACACAGCTCCTGCTCCGTGTGATTATTCAGATTTCCACTTACATAAGCGCGTGTTTAATCCCGTAAGAATCAGGAAGGACATCCATATCCAACCAGACAACGGTCACAGGGCAAAACCAGCTAGTTGATGCCTTTTTACGTGTCACATGATGCCGTTACACGACGAAAACACGACTCACAGGCGCAGTACGCTACAAGATTTCGTCCCGATTTTGACGGGACAAAACGGTGCCCAACCACAACACCCTACAAATTCCCCAACCCCACAGCACACTATCTGTAGCCCTGCAACAACCAACCAGCCAGCATAGGCGTAGGACCAGCATAGGTTGCACGAGCGAGCGAGCGAGCACAAACACCAGAGGGAAGGGAACTATTTCCTTTTAGAAAGTTAAGGAAATTTCGCCTGCCTTCGCTAGCCGTCCACCTCCCTCCACTAGAAAGAAACATGGCGACCATGCACACATACTGCACATTCTTCAACTTCAAAGCTACTCATACAAGGCGGCCAACGGGGAGGAGATACGCACCTAATATGAGGGCCACGAATGCAACAGCAATCCCATAATTGCTAAGCCGTAGTGGTACAAGGCGGCACGCACGCCTCCCATTAAACAAAAAACAGGCCACCAAACCAACCATCCCACTACTAAAATACTTGTTCAACCATCAGGCATCATGCCGGCAACTACTAAGGTGACACTTCCGATTTCCGGCCAAAATATATATTACTGGAATATACACCTCATTCATTCATTCATCTCTGACCATGGACTAGAGGCAGGAGGAATATAGATAGATAGGCCTGATGATTTTCTCTTGCCTTTTAAGCGAGGGGTACATCGTCCATGCCTTGTTAACTTCTCCTACCACTGTAGATAGATAAAATGATCATGCATAGGCCACGATACCAGACTTGACAAGGACAATACCAGGGTTCACATGAAAACGTAGAGCCAAACCTGATTTAAAGTAGCACATACTTTTTAACTTCTTAAACAACAAGCAAGTCACTTCCAAGAAATACAGGGTTAGAAAGCCAGCACAAGCACAGCACAGCAGCTTGAAAGCTTAAGGTGGAAAATCTTACAGTTACAGATTTCTTTTGGCCGGTTCCGAGATCACATGGATCGTTTTCACTTTTTGGCGTATGAGATGGCCATTGGGTTCTCTGGGCTGATCTTGAAACCCTGGAGGGCTTCCATTGCAACCATGGACTGGTTCTCATCCTCGTACTCCACAAAAGCAATGCCTGGCTTGGCTTCGATCATCCGCACCTCCCGGAAACCAGGGTATTGCTGGAACAGGATCTGGAGCATCATGCTCGTGGTCTGGTCCGGCATGTTCTGGAGGAAGAGGATGTTGTTCGGCGGAGCAGCTGGCTCTTGCGGAGGCTTGGCAAAACGAGAAGGTTGATGACCCTGCACAAGTAGAAAAGGTTAACTAAATTACTTCAAAAAGAATCTCAAAGTTGCATACCAAAATTCATGCACCGCTAAATGTTAATCTCAAACTAATAAGTACACTAATACTTGGTTTGTTCACATATATATCATTCATGAAGGCGATGCTGCATTCAACAAAGATTTTGATGCTAGCAAGATATGGTTTCTTACTAACAACTACTCCCCAATTTAACAGGACAGTATGAGCGTGGCATGACTAGGAACAGTTAAGACGGTTGAATATCTTTGTGGGATTAGGTCAGTAAAGGCAGAGTGCTCACGGCATTGGTGAGCTAAGATACCTAAACATAAATTAAATATAGTGAATGGAACGAACGACAAGACTATCTTCCAACTCAAAGACACTGAAAATATTTCAGCTTAATCCATGACTCAAGTAGACCAGCCAGCTCAAGTCAGATTAGTTTCTGACATAACGCTTAGGTATGCAATCATATCAGCTTTCTAGCAGGCCTGGTGCCCTAGTGAAACATAACAGAATACAATATCAGCACCAACTTGCAGCTCAACTACTACAAACTTTTAGAGGTATACATTGTCAAAGGAACACTTCACCAAGGTCGAAACTGCCAGTGTGTTTGATTGGTGCCAAAGGTTGCCTGCTATGGATTGGCCAACATTGGCTAAACATGAACTAGAGTTGGGAAAGCAGCATTGGCATGCCAAAAAGTTGGCCCTCGTCCAAACAAAGATCGATATTTTGGTCATAGCCAAAAAAAAGTGGTAAGGTACAATTTACACCCTTCAGACGAAGGAGCAACTACAAATAATAACGAGGTCTGCAGAGCTAGACGTGATGCATTTATAGATGTTTGGTCGCAGTTGAACGCTTACACATAAACTTCAGAGACACCCAAGTAACTAAAGGTGTGCCATACAATCTAGCAAACTGATTAAAAACAGCTTAACAGTAGTTATAGTGACTAGATCATTCAGATTCTGTCGGTGAAATTTTTGATAGAAAAGAAAACGAGTGACACACTCAAACACTTTAGACAGCAAGCATATATAGTCTGACATTTCTACCTATTAAAAAAAACTAATTTCTACATATAAAACGATAAAAAGGAAGGCAGGCTTTGTGGTGAACAAGTACAACATACTACATAAACAAACACATCACTTCATATCTTCAGTAAGGCTAGTACAATTTGCGAATTTTTGGCATACAATACCAATGGTTGCAGAGATAACACACAACATGGTTAAACAACAAATAAAAACCAAAGTGTGGCTTTTAAACCGAGAACTTACAGTTCCATTGCTTGGGGCAACAGGAGCACTAGCACCAGGTTGTTGCCCATCTTCAGTTCGCCGTTTTTTCTCAGCAGCTACAAGGGGAATAAGAGGCAATGGCCAATATGTAAATACACACTTTGAACATTTCAAACAGTAAAATAAGGAAAAGGTGCATGTTATGCCCATTGAACTATTCAAGTCATCTCATTTCAAGTAAGTATGATACCATCTATTTCGTCACCTACAACAGTTGAAGTGCGAGCGCATAACACCCTTGTTCTAAATTTACCACATCTTAGAAACATCAGTTCATAAAATTGACTATGGCAGCATCCATAGATATGTGCTTACAAAGAAAAATATCCGGTGGTAACTACGTCACAGTGGAAACCGGTGAAAACCAAGCCAAACAAAAAAACATATTTCCAAGCTACCGAAAATTCTGAAACAAAATGCGGAGGTAATGTTCTATAATAAACATCTAAAATTTCAAGTACAAAATAAAATTCATTTGGGTGGTAGGGAAGGTGGTAGGGAAAAAACAAATTCAGCAATGATTTCATTCCCCCCAAATAGATAAGTTTGAAGTTGAAATTTTACACGATAGAGTATTACCTTTGAAGCATAAAGTTCTTTTTAGAATTCTCGAAAGAAATTTTTCACGGAGTTTCTGTCGTAACTTGGTTTTTACCAGATACTTTCCCATGCTTCCAAGGCATGCATGTAATGACATGTGTCTTAAATTAAAACAGAAATCAATATAAACGAATGGCAGGACCCAACAACAGTCATGGCCACCTCTGCCTCCATCCCTTTTCTCTCCAGAAACCACTCTTCAGGTAGAGCGGTAGCGCCCACGACAAGTCCAGTAACAATGGCATCGAAGATGAGTTAGAGGTTCTAGGTTACTGAATGTGCTCTGGTCATCTCACGGAGGACCTCAAGCTGCCAACACCCAAGTCCCATTGCTATTCAGAGCACATCCATCTTAGTGTCACTGGGAGGTCAGATCGCCTGCACTCCCTCTCTGGTGTCTACGGAAAGTTGTGCTGAAATACACTTCTTTGCCTATTGTTTACCTGATCTTACCATTACACGAATGAAATGGGCGCCAGTGTGTGCATTCCATTATTCCATGCCATCTCACATTGTTGAAAACCAATGTTCAAGAAAGCGTTTTTAGGCGGCGCTTAAGCGCTGAGCGACAGCTAAACGCTTCGCTTCTTGCCTAGGCGCAACTTTTAGCGTTGAGCGAAAAAAGTGTGATTTAGCGATCACTTTAGCGCTAAGCGCTGGCTGAGCATGCTCTCAGCGCGCTTAAGTGACGAAAAGTCGAAGAAGGCGGGCCCAAAAGTCAGGTGGGAGCTGAAATAGACACAGGCGAGAGGGGGAAAGGGGGGGGGGGGTATATAAGGCCCGGCCCAAAAGTGGCCTGTTCGGCTAGGGTTACTGGGTTAGAAGGAGGGGAAAGAAGAGAGCATTGTGACGGCGGCTTCTGCTCTGCATCCAGCTTGGCTGCTGCTGCAGCTGCCTGAGCAGCTGCTTGGCTGCTGCCATTTATCCTATATGCTCATTCTAAGACAATGTTATGCATTTATGCTTGCTGTGTGAACCACTGAACATTATCCTTATGTGTTATTTGGCTATTTGTTGTGGTGTGTGAACCACCGAACCTCAACCTTATATGCTATTTCAGATTTATTTTTTCAGTTACCTATGTGCTATGTCTCCTGTTTTCTTGTGCATATTATTCAAAAACAGCCAAATTCTGGCCAATTTTTAAAAAACGCTTAATCCCGGTTAAGCTGCGCTTAAGCGGCCATTGCTCTAAGCTGTGGCCTTCCGCTCCGCTTACGCTCACCGCTTTTTTGAACATTGTTGAAAACACAAGCAATACGACTAATGAGGCAGGAACCAAGGTGACAGGATGCTTTGGTGGCCTCAGTATAATGAGGCAGCGAGCGAGGCAAGTGAATGGATAGCAAGCATTCCTGGCAGAAGCACGGTTTTTTAGGCGGGTGGCGAACCTGCTCCTAGCGCCCAGACTGCCTAGGCATCGCACAGGAGTCTAGGAGTTGCGCTGCGGCAGGGTGGAGGGTGTCTGGGGTATGTAGCTAGAGGCTGCTGCAGCACACAGTGGGGGCTTTGCAAGGAGCCTAGACCCCAGATTTCGGCAAAACAGAGTAGCAGGCCTGCACTGAGCGCGCTTTTCCCCGGGGTTTTTTAACCTTTGGCACAAGCAATAGACAGCAGCATGTATGATGCACCACAAGAATTGACCATGCCAACAGGGAGGAGGGGCCTAGGGGGGGTGATCAGAAAACAGATGTGGTGATGTAGTAAAGCCACATGATAAGGTGGGTGGTCATTTTACGTTATTTGCCTACCTTGGTAAATTTCAGATTACTAGTTTTGTACACTTTCAAAATGTTAAAACGCATCAGCACGCCTGCTGACACCACATTGGATCAATTGCTGAGAATGATAACATGCAAATAAAAGGCACCTAAGATCGGGGTGTGAAGGGGTTATTGGCACCAATTTAAATAACACAGAGTGCAAGTGGATGCTATCATACATCATAGTTGAAATTAGACTACATAATTCAATGGGCAATTATAGTTTTTCTTAAATGGTTAAATAAAGCAGCATTAATCTCCATAGAAGTAGTTATATGTTCTAACAGGGCAGGTTCTGATTTCGAGAACAGAAAAGCAAGCTAATATGCACACTAGTGTAGATGTTATCATCATTTTGGCTCCCCTGATGTACTAACCCAACATATCCAACTAGGATTGCTGCTAGTTTATTATCTCAACGGGCAGTTGTAGTGTAGAGTGTAGACTAAAACATAAATAAAATCTACAATTAGAAATACCTTTCTCCTCTTGCTTCTTCCTTTTCTCTTTAGGAGCATAAGACCCATCTGCTTTTGCAAAACAGTCAGACTTTGTTTTTGCATATTGTACCCGCTGCATAAGGGAAGGGAAAGAAGTAAGTTGTCAACCATGGTATTGTTAAGACTAATTTTGTTTGCGTGTCAATGCGACACAGTTTCACTTACAGGTTAAAACAATAGATTCAAATAGGAGTAACAACTAGATAGATAAAGATTACATGCTTCAGCATCTAGTCAGAGATCATCTGGACATATGATTCTTGAAAGAGTATATCAGTATAACCTAAGCAAGTAGTGTCTGCTAGCACCATTTGAAGAACAAACGTCTATCGTCTATCCACAGTATTCTACAAACTGTTAATCAAAACATTGTAAAAGACGAAGGCTACAAGGCTGTATTTTCTACGGGTGGGTTTGGTCCACGGATCATGAACAATTTCGCCATACCTAAACTTAGGCAAGTGACATAGTGTATGTGGCAACCTAAATGGTCGCCATAATTGTGCCAGTTAGGCAAAGAACTCTGGGTTAGCACACATGGGCAAGCCTCTGCAGATTGCAAACAAAACACAAGACTTAAACTCAAGGTATAACTTTATTGTGCAAAAATTTACCAGCGGAGACTTTGAAGTGGAGCATTGTTGTGCTAAACTGCTAATGCAAATCTAAGAACGATATAGGAACTAGGAAGACTAAATAAACCACTTGTGATAATCAGAAACAGATTGCTTGTCTCGGACCAACCATACCCACCAAGCTTCTTATGCACAGAAGAGAACACGGAGAATGAAAAGTAAAACAAAACACCTGACATTTTATATATAATCTAAAGTGGAGATGTTTCACCATTTTTTTGCCGTAAAAATCGAAGTCCTGTAGGCCCCGGAAAGCGTTGGTAGCCGCTGTAATTTCACTGAATGCCACCCAGGCTTGCCCCCTCAGTTTATGAGTTTTCAAGGCCACAACATCCACTATCCTTCCATACTGAGAGCACAATGCATAAAGTGATCTCTTCAGCTCTGCAGGAAAGATGAACACTCGTTACAGCATGAACCGACTGAAATTACTAGCATACTACAGCCTACAACCAAAGAGCTACTATTGTTTATGCAAACTCGATTTAGAAAAATATATGGCCATGCTCGCTTGGACATTACAACTATGCTCTGTAGAGGGAGGCAATAATTTTGCCCCTTCAAAGCTCTGACGCAGCTTGCAGAGAGTGAGACATTCCTAAAAGGATGAGACGGGCTGAGCCAAACACAGGTTCCAGCAAAAGCATGAAACGAAACCAAAATCGGGCAGCTCAGTCAGCTCCTACGGCCAGCATTTAACACTATGAACTAACGTTTCATCTCTCGAGAGTCCGCACCATATCCTACGAACCGAAAGCGAGGCGCGGACGAGCAACAGCCTGGATCGGGAGGCTAGGGTTTTAGGAGAGGGATTTTGCCAGCGGGTGCGGCGGGACGCTAAGCGGCCGGGTGAAGAATACCTTCTTTCTTGACCTTCTCGTTGAGGTTCCTGAAGTAGACGGTCTGGTTCGGGGGAACGTCGCCGGACAGCATCGCCACCGCCGTCGCCGCCGCCGAAGACGAGGAGGAGAGAGGCGAGCGCGAGAGAGAGACCTTGCTGTTTCGGGCCGGGATATTCTAGTCGCTGATTTTTGGGTTTCCAGTCCCGCTTCCGCTTATCTCTTCGGGCCTCGAGGTCGGTACAGGCCAGGTCGATGGGCTGTATGGATAATATGGGCTCAGCCTGCTTGTCTGTGGACCACGTAGACCCATATTGGCTGGGTTTGAATGAATTTTTTGTATACCTATTGGGCTTTTAATAGTAGTCCGGTTACTTTGTTCTGCTTTTTTCAAAAAAAAATTCTTAACGTCTCTCGAAATTTTGCCCCCCAAAAAAGGACAGGCTGATTTGCTACAAAAAAGTGAGTGCTTTTTCACTCGCTGCATGGTAAAATCGGTCCATCATCTAACTTTACCTCGTATATATACTCTCATTCTAATTCCTCACTTTTGAAAGGTTCCAACAGAAACGTTCCTGGTTCTGGCAAGACCAGGTAAACGTCGCTGCTCTAAGTAATCTCATGTCCATTAACCGAAGAACTAATCACGTTTACTCTGTCAAAAGTTTCACTGATCGCGGCCACTTTTTCCCGAACGGAAAAACATCAGCTGAAGTTCGAATGGCGTCGCCAACAAGCAGCGGCAGCTAGCTTTGCACTTGCACGACTGTGAACGGGCTAGCTGCCAGGGCTCTTCCGCGGCGCCTTTCGGCAAAACCCGATTCCGGAGCTGGAAACGCCGCTTGGCATTGGCCGCCACTTGGTCGCCGGGACAGTCGGTGTTCCTGGAAGCTGCCCGTTCCATGGTGGAGTGGATCCCTGCGAGAAGTGCTGGATCGTCGCTTTTCGGTCGGAATCACCGCCTTTTTAAATTAAGGAAGGATTCCGTCCGTCCTAATCGGACGGTGGCTGTCACGTACTAGTGCCCAGATCAGCCACCCCCGTGCGGAGCCCCTTTCCATCGCACGGCTGGGCGCCCAAGTTGCCGCCTGAACCTGCTAAGTTTAGCTGTCGGGGCCAATTTTGCAGCCCATGAGCAGGGCTGCAGGGCACAGGCTAGTTCCAATTGCAGCAAAAGGACGGCCAGCGAACGTGCCCCTTCCAATTACGACCCTGCAGGTCGGGGGAGTGGGACTCGATCTTAGTCCAGGGTAATGACACTCGCGAAGAAGGAAATCCATGATTATGCGGCGATTATATATACTTCAACTTGATCGGTTCAACCAGCTCAAAAGAAAGAAAGAAAGAAATGGTCAGTTCAGTCGCCTGTATATTTCCCTTCCATGTCAATTCGGTTTGTCAAGAGCAACGCTAGATATCGGCGGCCTTAACAATTAAGGAGTGAATATTATGGAGACGCAAACTTAGATGCGCGACAAATGAAGTCCTCAAAAAAATGTGTGAAACCAGTTTTCCATTTGACTAACAAGACCTCTGCCTTCCGAGAAGTGCATGGATGAACCCGGGTACATATGAACCCACTTTGAAAAACACATTTCTAAATTCTAAAAAAATCTGGAAAAAAATTGCACGGGTACGTCTCCATGTTCTATGTGCGTGCATAAAGTTTCATGAAAAAATAACTTTTTTTGTGCCCTGTGCAAAAAAGACAAAAAATTATGTCGTGAAACACTATTTAAAAGCACTGAAATTTGTCTTTTTTGCGGAGGCAAAACAAAAAGACATTTTTTGATAAAACTTTGTGCCGCGTACACACATTTGCGAACATATATGCGTGATATTTTCTTTTGATTTTTTTGACATTTTAAAACGTGCTTAAAATGCATTTTATGAAAAGTGGGTGCATATGCTCATGGGTTCAGATGGTGCCCTCTCTCTGCCTTCCCCATCTCATTGAACAACAACTAAATTATTTTTAACTTGATTTCTACAAGGATTTCAACAACCATTTGAACAATCGTTTCAACTAGTATTCGATACAACCACGCCAAAACTAACAAACAGCCCCAGCCACCTCCTCTTCGAAAAAGATTAGGGTACCTCTACCTCCCGTCGGCGTTGCCGTCGGTCCGCCTCGTCTGCGGTGGTCTTAGGACCATGGAGGCGCGATGGATCCCGGTCCTTGCCGGCGGGAGATCTCCATTTTCATATGTTTTTTTTAATTTTGCTAGGGTTTGTGTCCTGCTCAGAAAGGCGAGATGGTGGCGGTTTCATGAAGATGTAATAAGGTTCTCCCCGCTTAGCCCCCGTCCCGGTGGCGCCTCTGGTGTCGTCAGTGGGCGTATGGAGGTGTGTCTTCGGCGGATCTGTCTTTGATGGATCTGGTCGTCGTCGTCTATTTCATGTGTCTTCAGGTTGAATTATTTCGATTTACGTTACTCTTCATCGGTAACGATTGTTATTCTGCTGCGTTGAAATAAATTGTCTAGTACAACAAGTTTGTCCGGCTCCAGCGACGCGCCTCCAGCTTGATTCGGTGCTTTTAGTTCATCGCTAGATGGTCTACGGATGTGGATGTAACTTTTATTATTTTGTTATGTATGTTTAATACTATATGATTGATGATGAATAGATCGAATGTTTTTTGAAAGAAGAAAAAACTAGTATTCGATACTAGCATAATTTTAACTACAGGCTATGGCGACTCTAGTAGACCGTTTATTTCAACTGCGAATATTACGATGATCAGATTGATATGGCGCATTTACCAGAGTTGCTCAAAGCTGCCTCTCGACTGGAGTAAACCGGAGCACAATGGCCATGCCCCAAACATCTCGCACACAAACGACGACGGACAGAACGCGGATCTGTGCAGATCAATGCGTCGGTTCTTATTCTCGAAATCAAAAACAAGTGCTACTCCTATCATACAGCAAAACCCATAATTAATTACTCGAATCGACATAATACCAAACCTGAACTCGACATGGCTGACGCGACTGACGTCCTTTTCATCAGCAGGAAAGGAGCAGGGTGCCTGCGAGTTGCGCCACTGGCAGGGGTCAACCGGCCTATAAGGGTCGGGTCAAAACACCTTCTAGAGTGGGAGCAATGGAGGAGGATCCTGGCCTTTGACCGCCGGATCGGTTGGCGGTCAACCTCTCTCTCTCTCTCTCGCACAAACCACACCAGACCACAGCAAAATCCTTATAAACGTACAACCCAAGGCACCACTCGCCCCGTCAGCTGGATGTTTTGTTTTACCCCGCTGGACCGGATTCAGGAAAAATATAAGTCGTCAGTGACTTTCAAAACAGAGTAGTTGGCTGCCTGCCTTGGATGCCTGAGTTGGACCGATCCACGGGTATGCTAGCTCGTTCAATGATTTTTTTTCCTGCAAAAAAAGACTTTTTTTTGTCTGTTTGAAATTGCTTCTACCACGCTCGCCGCGTTGGTCGCAAAAAAAAGACTTGGTTTTTCCTTTTTTTCAAAGCTCAAAAGGCTTATGTTAATGTGTAGAGAAATATTTTGAATCAGACAAAAGGCCCGCAATGTGAACGCGCCCGGGGTGGGGGCGGCATTTGCAATTTTCGATCTATTCATCAATTGTCGACCTTTTTATTTTAGTGACGCTGATTTTTATTTCAGTATTGTTGGCAATAAAAGGTATATACTTTCCCTGTTTGATCATTGATAGCATCTTATATCGCCATCCGATCATAAAAAAATAACGGCACATATCAGTGTCTCAGAAGATTTTTGAGCCCACGCACTGATTGCACCTAGAGCTCCCGTCCATCCCGGGAGCAAAAGGAAGGTCGTCCCCCCTGCACTGGTTGATTGCTTAGATGTCTCATCTTTTCTTGGCATATCTTGATCGATATTGCACTCCCTGCAGCCCCCGTTTTAAAACATCGGTAGAGCCACACAGATTGTTAGATTGGTCTGCGGCGATATACAAAGAGAAGGAGATCTGCGTGTGCAATAATTTAGTAACAACCCGGGGATACCGATCCTTAAAAGATTCGACTTGTTATTAGTCATGAATCAGGAAATGGCAATACTATCTAGATATATATTCGGCAAACAGTGACGCTAAATCTCAGTCGACCGAGACTTCGCGAAGTCTCAGTCGACGTGTCAGCCGTATGATTATTTCTTGCTTTAAGATTCGTGTTGGAGAGTTGGCTGTCTCGTTTTCAGCCTGCTAAGGGGAGCGTCCAGCCCGATTCTCTGTTTGTCTGTGTCTTCCGTTGTTTGGGCTGTTTTTTTTGTTTTCGCGTTGTGATTTTCTCACTTTTGTTATCTGTGTATGTAACAGGCCATGCGTGTAGGTCTTTCTCATTTTGTTTTATTTTTTTCAGGTCGCATCTCAATGTGTGTTTTTAGGCTGCTGTTGTCTCGTTCTTTGTCTTTTATTTTTCTTTATTTTCCTCCCTTTTTCATTTTATGTATCATTTGTATGTCTTTTCTTTTTCTTTTTTTCTTTCTTTTGTTATTATTTTTTATTGTCCCATTTTTAGTTTTTTTATACTTTTTAGCTTTCATTATTTTAACGGACTCGCTAAATCTCAGTCGACTGAGATTTAGTAAAGTCTCAGTCGACGGCCATCCGTCGGATCTCTGTTTACTTCAAGATTCGCGCTGAAAGTGGGTTATCTTGTTTTAGCCTGTGTAACACGTGTGTCCAGCCCGTTTGTTTGTTTGTTTGTCGGGCTTCTTATTGTCGGGGGACATGGGAGGTTTTCTCGGTGGGTTGTTCGCTGGGCTGGGTAGGCGTTCCTCTGATTTCTTTTTTTTTAGCTGTCATTCTGTAGATCTGAGAGTAGGTGTTCCTCCGATTTCTTATGTTTGTTGGTTCCAGTAGGTTGTTTTAAGTAGAGATTAGTAGTTATCTTCATTTTCCCAGGGGATTTGTTTGTTCCAGTAGTTTGGACAAAGTGCAGATTAATAGTTTCTTTTTCACCAGTAGTCAAAATATATTTTGGATCAGCAGAGGTTAGTGAGTTTTATTTCCATTTCCCCATTCTTAGCAGAGGATCAAGAGAGGTCTAGTATTTTCAAGCAGAGTTTGTAGTAGTTTCAAATAGAAAT